GCAAAGCGTAGTAGATTTAGCCTCCAACTTCGCTTCCTTGTTGCTCGCTGCTTCTTCCTTTTGCAACATATTTTGTAACAGTTTTTTTTTAAAGAAGAAGAAAATAGGTAGAGATGGAAATGCATGACCAAACTCATGATATCGGGAAATTTATGGCAATCAAAGCGAACCAGACGCACTACATAGTGGACTCGTGAAAACACCAACTGGACTGGTCAGGAGTGACGCTTTACGCATGGACGATATGTTTGTTATTAGCACCGATGTGACCGATATATTACCGCATTTTAAAGTGTCTTCCTGTTGATTTGGCGAAGTAACAAATGTAGAGAACGGCCCTGTGCGCTTCTGTGCTACACCACTTAAATTTGGGATTTTTTCTTTAAATAATTTCGATTTCAATAATATTTTTTGAAGGAACATTTGGCCCACATGTACCGGAAAAGGGGAGGGGAGGGGAAGTATTCAGCTCGGGATCGAAAGGCCTGAAATATCTATGGTTAACATGTAGAAAGTATTTAGCCCCGGGGTGAGTCTTGCTATTTTTTGGATGTAATATTCTTTATAACTGGTATAATTCTGATCAATTTTCGCGAATGATCTTTCCGCAGATTCACCTACGTAAATAGAGGGACCATAGAAGGCTGAACCAAAATTGGACGGTCCAAGTAGAGCCGCCGAAGAGGATGAAACTGTCAAGTGGTTTTTTGCGGCCGTTGCTAGGCCGAGCCATACCTTCTGAAGTAACGGCCCGCACAAACCGAAGAAAATTAAGAACGGCTGAAACCTGAGGTTACTCATGACGAACGAATCAACGTTCATTTCGCTGTCATCCACCCCCCTCTTCCCGTCTTCCAGCCTATTTTGAAAAATCATTGTGTGTATATTAATATATGAACCAGTGTGTTGTGTGCTCAGCAAGTTGTTCTTAATAAACATAAATATTTTATTTGTCACACTGGGCATATTGAACTCCCCACCCCCCGCCCTTGATCCTTGATGTGATTAGGAGTTAACACAGGCTTGCAGTCTCAGACTGACTGGAAAAGGTCCTCAATAAATCAGACGATAACTCAGTTCCTGAGGCATCTTCTTCCCATTTAGATTAGTAAAAATGTGAGGGAGTCTGTGTGTTTCTTTTTCGTTCTCCCTCCCCCAACCTGTCCTTTAACGAGTTTGAAAAAGTCTGATTGCCAATGGAGACTTCCATCCACCTCTATTGCGCTGATAATCTTTTTAGAAGCCTTTTCTGTTAATGTGCAAGTAAA